TGCCGGAGGAGGGGGACTATGGACTGAGCGCGTCGGTGTACCATGGAGTCGGGCATCCGCTTGAGCACGCTCTGCCTTCTCCTCTGCCTGGGGCCAGGTAGGCGGATGCCGGACCCGCCGGGCGGGCACCCGGGAGCGGGGCCGGGGGAGCTCCGCGGCGGCGATGCCCTGGTCCCCGGGCGGCCGCAGGTGGGGGGCGCGTGTGTGCGTGCTTGGAAAGTTGCAGTGTCGGCGGGTGGGGTAACGGCACTTTCTGGGTCAGTTGCAGGCTTTGGCGTGGACCCCTCGCTACAGATCGATGTGCTGTCCGAGCTACAGCTGGGAGGCTCCGCGGATGGCGTGCGCCAGGTGCCGGGGCTGCACAACGGGAGCAAAGCCTTCCTCTTCCCAGGTACCCGCGCCCACCCCGCCCGCCCCCGCTCAGCTCCGGCCGCCGCGGTCGGGCCCCTGCGCCGGGCACGGGGGGCTCGCCCGCCCCCCACAGCGAGGGGTTTGCCCACTCCTGAAGCACCCGGGGTGCTTTCCTTTCCTGCCCGCTTTTCTTCCACTCCTCTTCTCCCCCCCCTGCTTTTTTTTCTCTCACCCCTTTTTTTTTTTTCTTTGACTGGTAGACGCTTAATTAAAGTACAGCAGGAACGGGGATGGCAGATGGCTTATTTTGTGAGTCGTGGGGTGCAGCGATGAATAATAGCACCACCCACTCTTCTGCTTTACTTGGGAAACGCTAAACATACCCCAGTTCCAGCTAAGGAAATGCTCACTGAAAGTTTCATGTGAATCGAGTAAAATGCTGAAATGAAGTGCCCCGGAGGAGTGAGGCAGATGGCTGAAAATAAGACGACCCCTTTTTTACCAAGGGAAAGCGGCCCTTGTGAGGTTCTGTGTCATACCCCTCATGAGAAACAAAGAATGAGTTTTAGTCTCTTTTAGTGCTTGTGACTGTCTTTTGTTCATATTGGGAATAGAAATAAAATAGTAGTCTTGTTCCATCTTTCAAAAATACCTTTAGGAGGTTTATTAAAAAATAATTAAACTTCCTTATATTGTAATTCGTAAAGGACTAAAATAACTCTCAATGGCTGGTTGAATTTATTGGTATAGGTTACATTGCCTACACTTGCTCATTATCAATGTATTTTTGAATTACACTTTAATAAAGTACTGATACCTTAAATGAAGCTGGAGTCAAGAATGCCTTCAGGAAAAAAACTCTCTTAATTTAAAAAAAAGCCTAAAAATGGCCTTTAAAAGCAAATCTCTTCTCTGAAAGATGATGAAATGCTCCTTAGAAACATGACTAAACAAGAGCAAGGAATATGGCTCAACATCTGGTGGAGGAAGAGCAAATCTCCGTGTCAGCCTGTAGTTTTAAAATAGAGGGACTTGATTGCTGGCTTCTTGTGTCATGCCAGGAGTTTCAGCTCGGAGCTGAAAGCATTGCTAGTGCAACAGGCAAGAGGCTGTGTTTCCCACATAGACGAGTTATAATTCAAGGGAGATAAGATCTGGAAAGGGAATTTCTTTTTTCATGTTTGCATTAATGAGATAATTTATCAGAAGCTAATAGTTGCCAAAGGCTTTTTTTTAAAGGTGCTCTCTCTAACGGTGCTCTTCCCCCGTACAGCCAGCGTGTGTCACTATGGACATTAATGTGGAGACGCATGGGCATATGCGTTCAGAAACACTGACACATGCTGATTTTAAACATCCGTGGTGGGCTTGCGGCTGCCGTACAGGGTCCTCCGTGAAGGGGGCGACTGCTTAGAATGGCAACACGATTGTGGGGTTCGTGTCCTAAATAGCTGTGATTTTTAAGGTATGGTTCTGAGTTGGGGCCCCGTTGTGCTATAATGGGTTGGAGTGAGGGGGAAGTCAAAACTCCTTTTGACTTCAGTGGTAACAGGATTAGAGGTTTGTAAGAATAAGTCTTTTTATTGTATATTTTCCCAGTGTTGGGACAAAAAAATTACTGGGTTACTAAAGATTTTTTCAAGTTGTTCCCTCTTTCTTTATAATTATGAGTGTATGTAGTTCCCCAATGGGTTACCAGTTTAGTCGTAACAAAAGGAGATAGGAGTTTAAATTTTCACACCGACCTTTTTATTTTGTTGAGAGGAATTGGGGGAATAACAAGGACAAAAACACTTGGGTCTAAATGGTGGTTGAAGTCACTCAGTATCCCTTGGGAAGTCTTCAGCACCCTGCAGGACTAGAGGTATCTTTCCTGCTACTGCATAAGATGACTGCTGATTTTCTTGTAGTAAATGGGGTCCTTACTGAGCAGACAGATTTTCATTTTCGAACTTGCATTTAGAAATAGAGAAATTTCCTTCCTTGATCAGACCACTGGGTCCACTTAGTAATTTTTGTTCTGCTCTTAGGGCTCACACTGTTGGAACATTGCTGCAATGTATGCCTCTTAACGTATGTATTTGCAGTGTGTGAATTTCAAATATATGTACGTGCTGACTTTAAATTTGTTTTTTTGCCTGTGTGTTTTTTCCTTATTCCAGCTAAAGCCTTAGTCCTAGACACAAATGATTTTGTGAAAAGGACACAAATGACTTTAAATGATCTGTGAACTTGCTCTGGAAGCTTTAACTTGTGATCCTTCACCTTTTGGTTTCTTCAGATACTTAGTCTTTTCTTGTACTATATACATATTTATGACATTTTAGTATGTTGCCTTTTTTGATAGACCACATTCCCAACTGGTGTAAAGGCTTACTTTACATATGCTTAAAACATACAGAAAGCCTAAATGCTGTTCTTTATTTTAAAAGAAATTATGAAAGTGGCAGGTTGAACTGCCAACAGGTAACAGACAATTAAAGATATATGATGGGAAAATTGTACATACAGCTGAAGCAGAATAGTCTTTCCTTCTGTTTCTAGGCAAAAAGTCAGTCTTGACTGTTTAATTAGATGTAGCATCAATTTTCAATACAAGGGTTTTAGCATCTAATTGGCTGTTCTGACATTCTTCTTTGCGTAATTGATTTTCAAAGGTACTTATATTTCTAGGCCATAGAACACAGTAGGCAGTTACTCTCTGAAGGTAGTTTTAGTCTGTTATAGTCTATTCAAGAGCATTTAGACTGCTCCTCATATGGTTCCTGATTTAGAAATAACTCTAGCCATTTGAAATTTGTGGTCACTTGGACTTTCTTTTTGTGTACACTCTGTCACTGTACAAATCTTATAGAAAGTGTCAGACTTGGGAAACAGAGCTCTTCCCACTGGCGTAGGTCAAGGCCAATTGTATGAGATTCAACAAGGCCAAGTGCCGGGTCCTGCACCTGGGTCACAACAACCCCATGCAGCGCTACAGGCTTGGGGAAGAGTGGCTGGAAAGCTGCACAGTGGAAAAGGACCTGGGGGTGTTGGTCAACAGCCAGCTGAACATGAGCCGGCAGTGTGCCCAGGTGGCCAAGAAGGCCAAGAGCATCCCAGTTGCCAGCTGAAAATGAGCCGGCAGTGTGCCCAGGTGGCCAAGAAGGCCAAGAGCATCCCAGTTTGTACCAGAAATAGTGTGGCCAGCAGGAGTAGGGAAGTGATCGTCCCCCTGTACTGGGCACTGGTGAGGCCGCACAGGCTCGAATACTGTGTTCAGTTTTGGGCCCCTCACTACAAGAAGGACATTGAGGTGCTGGAGCGTGTCCAGAGAAGGGCAACGAGGCTGGTGAAGGGTCTGGAGAACAAGCCTTCTGAGGAGCGGCTGAGGGAACTGGGGTTGTTTAGCCTGGAGAAAAGGAGGCTGAGGGGAGACCTCATCGCTCTCTACAACCACCTGAAAGGAGGTTGTAGCGAGGTGGGGGTC